AAGGTGAGATTATGTTTACTTTTCGAGATTAAATTTATATGCTAGTTTATATATTAACACTTTTTTTGTGACCATTAGAATCCTAATTTTTTGAACTATCATAATTTCGTTTTTGAGAAAAGTCTATGGTAAGATTTGTATGCAGTTAGTCAAAGAAGCATCTCTGAGCCTTATCACTAAGTTATACATGAAAAGTTACATTTCCAACATTTCTGTTCTTTCTTATTTCATCTTTAATCTACCGTAGAATTTTGCACATGTCATTTTCGATACTTCAACTTCATTATATAAAAAAATTAGGCATTTCTATGGTAACTCGATTTACTAAAGAACCACCTTAAGCATAATTATTTTATCATGCGATTGTAGCCACGTTTATAGTAAACACTTTTGCTCTCATTGTCAATTATTTACAAGTATAAGAGAACAAAGAGAGAATTATAAAATCGGAAAAAAAAGATTAATACTGAAACGAAAACGCGTAAAATTAAAAAAATAAAAATTTTTGAATTGCTGAAATTTTCTAAATCGCTATTTCCTCCTGATCACGTATTCTTACGTATATAAATTACGGGAAGTGACGTGCTTTGAACAGATTCCTGCGCTACGTGAACGCGTACGAAAGCGAAATGAAAAATCGTCCCGACGACGGTGGAAATGACAACGACGACAACGACGGTGACGAGAAAAAGGAGGACGACGATGACTACGATGACAGCGGCAGTGAGCTTCCGGCTATGACTCGCAAACGGAGAAGAGGGCTTTCCCGTTATGCGCCTCGTCTCTAGAGTTGATTTGGCGAGAGCTGGCAGCGGTGGCGGCGGGCAGAGAAGCCGGTACCGCTAGCTTCCCAGAAATCGACTCTCGATAATACGACTCGATACGGATGAAGTAATCTCTCTACTGTCGCGGTCAGTGAGAGGGAAAAAAACCGCGGCACCGATCGGTGGGGGCATACCACTCGGTCCCCTGGGGGAGGGGGGAGGGGCAGGGGGGAGAAGGTAGCGGGAGGATCCGGCGGAGGATAGGTGCACATACGTACCACCATAATTTTCATGCTTTATTCATATTAATTTGAACGAATTCTCCTTGTAGAAATTTCATACCGGAAGACAGGGTTTGATTTTTTTTCTTTTTAGTATTAATTATTTTGAGTATTAAAAGCATTGCTCAAGTTCAGTGCTTCTAATACTCAAGGTAAGTAATATGTTGGTCAGTAGGTTGCTTTTAGGGCTCTTGTCCACTCACTGTTATCTCAAATTGTAACCTCAGAGACATGAGAAAATGCATAATAGAAATTCTTACAAATTATATTCGAATAGAAATATTTTTTTCAATAAAATAATATTTTCAATCGATAGAATAGACTTATAAAATATATCGAAAACTGTTCTTCTGTTTCGGGAAAAAATTAAATCACATATTTACTTTTATATACAATATTATTATTAATTTGATTGATTTTTCCAGAGTTATAATCGTAGCTCAGTTTTTGATTATGTACGGTTTAATTAATAAAACAAAAAAAGGAGTAAATTTTACAAATCGATTCTATTGATTGTAAGTGTTATTCAAAATTTATAATATTTCCGTATTAATATATCTCGCAATTCTTATTGTGTATTTTTTTGCTTCTAACATCACAATCTCAGATAGTAGTAATGAGTGAATTTTAATATTCAAAATGAGTAATTTCCAGTATTAAATTGGCCAGCATTAAATTAGATTTTTGTAAAGGTCAAGAGTGTTTGCCTTATTGTGCTTTTTGTATCCAAATTACTTCTCTTCCGCTTAATTTACATTTTTTTTCGGCTATCTTGATATACATTTTTACTCAAAAGATTATTTTTATAGAATTCATTCTGAGTTTATAAATCGTTTATGTATCAGAAAAACGGAATATGTAAGTTCTCAATATCGATAGTGAGCAGGTTGCATATATGTTTCTTATTGTAAGAATAACATCGTATTTCTATTTTTACATCCACAGAATGGAAGATGCAGACATGTTAATCTCAAACATCTTCAGGACAAGAATTTTAATTCTTGATTTTCCTTACTATTATATAATTACACAAATGTATATATCACACGTGTGACTTATCTTTTTCATTATTCCAAGAAAAATTCGAAGACTGACGAAACGTGCTTGTTTTTTTTTTTAAACAGTGTTTACGGTAAACTAAATTAATATGGATGAAAGGAAAAGAAGACATCATTAGAATTGCATGTATTTCACTTCCTTCTCGTCGAACAAAATGCATTCGCATAGTTGTTTCACGGTGTCTTACGTAACGCCATACAGCATCTTTCTGAGACGGATTTAGCTTCTAGATCGACCGATTGATTTTTCGCGATACAAAAAGTCGTTCCAGACGTAAACAAAGTCTGCCGCGATGTAACGGGGAGGAAAAGTTTCGCAAAAATGATGATCGCTATATGTATAATAAAGCGTTTATGTTTCCTTACAATGTCAAAACGGAATATAATAAAGTATAAGCTTTTAAATGCGAGCTATTACTCAGTATTTATCTTTTAATTATGGCATAGTGTGTTTTCCATTGACAATGGTAGAAAATGACAAATATTAGGAGCCAGAAATTTGTTAAGGGGGGGGGAGGGGAGGGCATTAACGCGCCGTAAGTGAAATTTTTTTAAGATCACATATAAAAAAAATAGAATATTCTAAATTGTTATTATTTAAATTATTACATTAAAAAGTATTATTTAAATATAACTTATAAAAACGTTTTTAAAAAATTACATTAATACAAAAGAAGAGTAACATAAAGGAATCTACGTTTTTTATATTTATAGGAATCTTAAAAAATATTTTTTGAGTATCAAAATTGTGATTAAGCGTTTGAAAGAAATATTAAAAATATTACATAACATTTTGCTATAAACATTTTTAAAGAAAGGAAACTCCAAGGGAAGGGCCATGGACCTCTCTCTCTCTCTCTCTCTCTCATGGCCTTTCCCTGTTTCCCTGTTTCCGGATTGGAAACGCCAGATTGGATTCGCCAATGGAGATAAATAATTTATTCGATCATAATGAGAATAATTTATATGACTGACTTATAATATATTTTTTAACTTTAAGTATCCCGACATTTTTATGTAACATTATTGTTTTTAATTCATGACTACTGATTGATTGTTTTAAATATTAATTTATTCGTCCGTTTATATAAGCAAAAGAACGAACAAATTAATATTAAACACAATTAATCGATAGACAATCTTTTATCATCATATTGCCTTATGAGTTGATGTAATTTTGCGAATTACTGCTTTTTCTATAGTTTTCAACTTTTCGTGGGTAATATAATATTGGATCGAATTAAGATTACTCGGCTTTGCAACCGTTGTGAATGACATACTCTTTTTACGTATTTAACAACTTTAGTTCTTATGACTCACGCGAGCATAATAAATCGAAACATTCTGACATTTTATTTGTAATTTATTCTCAGACAATCTACTTGTATTTGTTCTAATAATAACACGATATTATTAATTTATGCGCATTAACTACGCTTGACACTCATTTGCTTTTTTGTTATATTATTTTACATGACTGAGCTGTTATTTTGTTATGATGAAAATTCGCGGATTTCTCTTCCCTCTTATTCTGTTTCTTGACAGGGAAACTATAATCTATTGTACTTTCTTAATTGTTGTACGATTTTGTTCTCACATAGCTCTTTAAAGAATTTGAAAACGTCATGCCGGTCGTGTTGAGCCGATCAGTCGGCTACCACGTGAAAAAGGTAACTTCGTTCTCCGTCCACGTACCCCGTGGTGTATCAAAAGCGAATTACCGTCGATCACCGACTTCGACATTCTCGGCCACGAGAGTACATCGGGTGGTACCAGCGATCGAGTCGGTCCCGGCGTAGTTGCGAGTTCGCGTAGTATACGCTCGCACACTACTTTACTGCCAGAAAACTCGATGGCACCTTAAAGAGAGAAGTCAAGGGCAAGAAGCGTCCCTTCGTTTGTACAGCCTGGGCCCAGGAGGCCACGGGGGCCCTACTGGGCGATTCTTCTCCCCACCTTTTCCTCTATCACCCGTCCCTACCACTACGTAGGTTTGCTCTTTGCTCCACCGCCTCCGGGGCCCTTTTCCTCTCCCCCTTTCCCCGACATTCCCGCGATCATCCCTCCGCTGCCGCGTCTGCCTCCTTCCAGCCCTTCTCTCTCTGCTCTGAATGCCGCGGATCCTACCAACCCATACGCGAGTAAATATGTCCTTTCAGGTTTTCTTAAAATTCGTCTCTGTTTAAGCAGAGGCAGAGGGGTACGCTCTTATAATCCATACAAGAATGTCCATCACCTCCTCCTCCTCCTCTTTCGCGTCTTCCTCCACTTCTATCGTCACCACCACCTCCTCCTCCTCCTCCTTCCTTCCTTCTCCTGTTGCCCATCTCGTCTCAACATGAATCCATATGTATGGGGTTGAGGCGCACAGTGCTCGACGCAAATGTGCTGACTACATTACGCCCGGCTATATAAGATAGCCGGACAACCATCCTATCCCCACAGACCGAGTCAGATCGGCGGACCGTTCACAGACGGGCCACAAGGAGCTCGCGTCTCGATCGGCTGATACTCATTCGCGGTGAAGATATCACGTCCGAGATCGTCTTGGAAGGGTCGACTATTGTTGATATTTCTGACGAAGTGAGCAAGAGATTGCTTAAGAGTTCGAAGGATCGTCTTATCAGGAGATATTGACAAAAGCAGTCCGATTATCAAAACTTAATGCGTGCTTTGCGTCTAAAGGAAATCTATAGCCTGCAGAGAGAAATATAAACTAAAGTTCTAGAAGACAAGCACGATCGAGACATCTTGACAGCAAAATATATTCATAAGAAGAATCGAGAAACGAATTTTTTCAAATTGTCAGAAAAAAAGAAAGAATTAATTGTAAAGAAAGAAAAAGGAAGAAGAGGTAGAAGATTTTCTTTAGTAAAGAAATTTGTGATCGTGCTGAAGGATGATTTTTATTGGCGCCACGACGTATTTCCTACTCGCCATCGTTCTGGTGGCCTTGGTCTTGATCGTGATGGATCATATCAGATTGAAGAAGAAGCCGAAGAAATTATATGACGGTGAAGAGCCATCCGGCTTACCAGATCCACCTGGACCGACACCATGGCCAATTTTGGGCTCTCTTCATATTTTGGGACGTTATGATGTGCCTTACAAGGCTTTTGGCGACCTCGTCAAGGCCTACAACAGCCAGATAATCAAGCTCAAGCTGGGATCTGTACCTTGCGTCGTCATCAATGGATTGGAGAACATCAAGGAGGTCTTGATCCTCAAGGGCCACCACTTCGACTCTAGGCCAAACTTCGTTAGATATCATCTTCTTTTCTGTGGCAACAAGGAGAACTGTAAGTATCCTATTTTTTATTATTTCTACAAGCTTCCCATTAAGAATCAATTAGCACAAAATTATCTAATTTTTGAATTTATAATATGCTAAATTAATATCAATAAAGCCAAAAAAAATTGTAGAGCTCTTATACATTTACATCTTACGCATTTAAAGCTGTCTTTTTGGACAATTTATTATTCTATCAATATTGCTAATTAATAAATTGAATAAGGATAATCCATGATCAGTAAACACTAAATCGCTTGTCGAAACAGAGATCGATTACGCACGTGTAACAATCTATCTAATTAAGCACGTGTCACTCTCTCAGCGGTTTAGGTTACGTTGCGAACATGTTTTCCGATCACACGTCCGGCAGGGAGATCAGAAATTCCGACTGATTATTATAAATCATCGATACAGCGTCGGCTGAAAGTTCGCAGCTTATTAGCACCTCGTTAGGGAGCTTCTAAAAAATTGCACGCTAATGATCTTGTCGCGCGTCGCGCATATACTCACGCATAGTTTACGCACGACGTATGATTTACTTGTCGCGCACGCATATTCCATGCTCGTCCGCGCCAAAACTCATGCTAAGGTCAGCTTAAGAAGCGGTACCAAGTGCAGGCGGAAAAGGTCACGGTACCACTTTCACGCGTTCCTGGCTCACCCGGCAGCCGGAAAATAGGATCAAGGCTGATCCATCGGAATCGCCGCTGCCACGCCATCTTACCCCGGCGCGATCCAAGACGATCGCATTAACTCTTTCCACTGCGTACGTTCGTACGCATTGCAACGGAATATTTTAATTTCGCGCTCACGTCACATGCGTCGGCAGCTCTTAATACGGTCACCTCTATAAAGTATTATTATATGCTGTATTTATTGCAGAATTAGTATTACTATTAGCTACTAATCCCTTGACTTTTTCGTTACGCGCAATAAATTAATGATATGTTTTTCTATATTAACCTTTCTCAACGTTTGCATATTCTAGTTCAACTTTCGTCAGACATCTAATACTACGTTCATTTAATCGTTTCTTATTAAGAAATCCGTAACATATATTTTTAATTGTATAAAAAACTAAAAAAATGTTGATATATATAGAACACTTAAAAATTTTTGTATATTGTAATTTATTTATCTCTAATTTAATCATCCGATCATGAAAAAATATATAAAATATTCAAGAGATATTTGTTAAGGGACATTAAAAAAAAGTTTTTCATACTGTAATTTATTTTATAATTCGTTCATTCCTGATTTGATAACGTTCGCTGGATTATCACGGAAAAACAAGTGCAGGAGGACCGAGCTGCCGCTCTTCAGGTTCTCGGGCGCCCTGCACGAATGACGAGAAACCGGGTCACTTCCTACTGCTCGTCTCTTCTCCCGCTTCGATTCCATATTAAGCGCGTTGAGCGGAGAATCCGATTTTCTGTCTTATTCGCTGGGGAATTGATGTCGTATTGTCTAGCTGCGTTCGTGTAACATTTCCGCGTACGCGATGCATGCGAGTGTGCGCGAAGTAGAAAGGGAGCGTGTGCGAATTTTTTTTCTGCAAAACGATGATGTTTCGGAACGCGTTGTTACGCGCACTGGGACGGTAACAAGGCCAAGTTCAACGCAGCCGCCATACAGTCGTGCTGATTATTCTTTTCTTGATTTTGTAATTTAAGCCGCCATACATTCGTGGAATATATACGTTTATCACCACGGCAGCCCTGACGTCAGCTGCTTCCGTTAAGAGTTACTATAAATTGCAACGAGATGAAAGCAAAACTAATTGATATTACATTTCAAAAAGAACTTCTTGAAATTGTTTTAAGTAAAATAAGGATAAAAAGACAGTTATTCCGAATATTTCTCTAAGTATATTTTTCCAACAAAATAAATTAAAAGGCATAAATTTTTAATAAAAGTATCTACGTCAGTTGGACATTTGAGATAGGATAACGATTAAATCATTCTTCCTCTTTCTTACAGCTCTGGCATTCTGTAACTGGTCAGATCTCCAGAAAATGCGAAGAGAGATGCTACGAGGGCATACTTTCCCGCGCGCCTTTACCGTGCGTTACAACCAGTTAAACGGCATAATCGGCGACGAGATGGAATGGCTGATTAATCACCTGACCGGCATCTCTGGTATCAGCATGCACGTCAAGCCGCTGATATTGCACACGTGCGCGAACATCTTCTTCAAGTACTTGTGCTCGCGAAGCTTCGAGTACGGTGACGATGGCTTTAGCCAAATACTCGAGAATTTCGACAAGATCTTCTATGAAGTAAACCAGGGATACGCCGCGGATTTTATGCCGTTTCTAATGCCACTCCATCAGCGTAACATGGCGAGGATAGCGACTTGGACCCATGAAGTCAGAGAGTTCATGGAGAAACACATAATTGGAGATCGTGCAACCAGTTGGAAATCGGTCATACCTGAGGTAGACTATGTAGATTGTTTAATAAATCACATGAAGACCGATGCTGAGCCCAAAATGACGTGGAACATGACAATGTTTGCGCTGGAAGATATCGCCGGAGGTCATTCGGCAGTCGGCAATTTCCTAGTAAAGATTCTGGGATTCCTGGCTACACGACCGCACGTACAAAAAACAGCGCAGATGGAAATCGACGGGATCGAGACTACGAGTAAGTTCATTGGGCTAGAGAACAGAGGAAATATGCCGTATACGGAAGCTATCATTCTTGAAGGAATCAGGTTGATTGCCAGTCCGATTGTTCCGCACGTTGCCAACCAGGATAGCTCCATAGCCGGTGAGTAATTTTCTCTCCTTTTTTAATACATTGTCAAAATGGATAAACGGTTAAAATGGTTACGTAAACAAAAAGAACGAAAAGAAGTGAAGATTTGCAATTTTTGCTTGCAATGTTATATATTTTTGTAAATTATAAAAACAATTTGATTTCAAGACAAGACAAGAATTACACGAAAAGAACAGTTTTGCTGAAATATAGAAAAATTTATAGATACAGATCTGAAAATGATTTTATTGGAATCAAAATAATGTAGATAACTCCAGCACGATGAGTAATATTTGCAAAAAGTTTTGACATTTCAGCAACCAGTTTGAGTATTTTACATTATTTTAATATAGTCTGAGAAAATTATTTTTATATCTGTATCCAATTAAATTTTTAAATACTTCAAGAAAACTGTTCTTTTCTTGTAGTGCTTGTCTTGGCACGAAAGTAATTGCTTTTATAATTTACAGAAATTTATGAAACTGCAAATAAAAGTTGAAAATCTTTACATAAATAGTTATTACTTAAGAATTTTATTGATTTTGAATAATATTAATACCAATATATTTATTAATATAATCAAAATTGTAACAGTTGATTTTATTTGAATTCTGATCTTATTCTAGGTTACAAAATAGAGAAGGACACATTTATCTTCTTGAACAATTATGAATTAAATATGTCGGAGGAGTTATGGACCTCTCCTGAAGAATTCATGCCTCAGAGATTCATACAGAACGGCAAATTGCTGAAACCAGAACACTTTCTGCCTTTCGGGGGCGGTCGAAGATCTTGCATGGGTTACAAGATGGTTCAATATATCAGCTTCTCGACAATAGCCACCTTACTAAAGAACTTCAACATATTGCCGGTAGAGAAGGAGATCTACAAAGTTCCTATCGGCAATCTGGCACTTCCTACGAACACCTTCAAGGTCCGTTTCGAAAAACGGTAGGAAATGCAAAAGAATAAATCAATGAGAAAGAATGAATTTGGCCGATGAAATCGGAGCGTGATTTCTCGTCCATAATCCGATCACTGGGCTCCTGAAAACTTTGTCGATTACGCGGAATCAGCGATTAAAGAGATCAATTGAATCCGAGCAGAAGACAAATTTAAAAAAATTGTTCGATATTTAACTCAATTTACTTGATGGCTATCGAACTAAGATTAGTGTTTTGCACATAGGCGAAATTCTTATTAACGTTATGTGTAGCGGAGGACCAGCAGCTAAAAAGAGGCTTTTGATTCCAACGAAGCTTTACTTACGTAGGAAAGATTAAATACGAGAACGAGCGAAGAATACTGACATTACTAGCTCGTTAAGATAGCTAATTGAATCGTTCCTCGACTCGTGCTCTAGGCGCGAATACGCGCGGAGCCCAGTTTCGTTAGTGCAAATCTTTGTTATAATTTTACTTTCTACAGAATAT